AATAGTAATAATAATATACAACGCAAGTGATGCACAATGCAGTTGCTCACCACCTGCCAGACAGTTCCCGAGCAGCGATTGCTGCCCCCTGGCCAACTCACCCCAGTTTCTATACTGAGCATGATGCCATATGGTATGGAATAGCCCTTTGGTCAGTTTGGATCAACTATTCTGGCTGTGCCCCCTCCCAGCTTCTTGTTTACCTGGCAGAGCATGGGAAGCTGAAAAGTCCTTGACTGGCATAAGCAGTACTTAGCAACAACTAAAACATCAGTGTGTTATCAACATTCTTCTCATCCTAAATCCAAAACAGAGCACTATGCCTGCTACTAGGAAGAAAATTAACTCTATCCCAGCCGAAACCAGGACAGACTGCCAACATAAATCCTTCCATCTTTGGGAGGTGGAAGGAGAGGTATGGTAAGCTGCCCTTGTAACTGGTTTCAGGCTTTGCTTCTACTCCTTCCCAGTGTCTGCCATCAGCTAAGGTGGGTGCTTTGGGCAGTAGGGTCAAGAAAAAGCAAGTCTGTATGCAAATTCAGATACACAGTTCTACAGCTTCTCAGCACTTTGGGGAAACTTAACTAGAAGTTTATCTATTAAAAAGCACAGTTTCAGGTCAAGCTGAAATGTTTTCCTGATTAGCTAAAGAAAGCTAAAAAGACAAACAGTGATTCACAGAACGTTTCACAAGTTTTTTTAAACTTTACAAGCTTTACCTGCCTTGTTTTAGCCACTGTCGCTTGTCTGTGATTTGGCTACAAGCAATCTCATTTGCGGTGGTGGCTGGGTTGCTCCAGGGCTGAACACAGGCCATCCAGAGTCCAACGAATTCCCGCAGAGAAGAGGGGATTCAGCCTTCCAGTCCTAGCAGCTGTAATGCACCTGTGGAGGCATGCTTTATTTCTGGCAATCACTGGTGAAAAGCCTAGTCCAGATGAATATTCTATGACCTATTTTTCCTGAAGCTTTTGTTCAAATACAATTTAAGAATCCACTTACATGGCAACACCTTTGAATTTTGTCTTGGAACAGGTGTGAACTCTTTTCAAGTCTACATGGCCTACAAAGATCTCTACCAAATGTCCGACAGCCAGGTATTGCTCTGAATGCTTTTCATTGCTGTGATCTGTCCTCTCTTCTGTGATCTCCCTCCCGACACTTGAGCAGTTGCTAAGGTTGAATCCTAGAGAAACATTCCCACCGACCTGAGTGACACTGGGGGAAATATGCAGTGGAGGGGTTCTCTCTGGAGGGTCAGTGCCTAGTAGTGTTGAAGATCTGCATGTGCTCCTTCAAGTGTATGACATTCACCCTCTGCAAGGGTTGTCTGGTGTCTCCCAACATTGCAACCACTCAGCACTGCTCAGGATTTTGCCATGCACTTTGTTTTGCTGTTACCTTTCAAGAACTCTAGGTCAGAGAGGGAAGAAAAGATGAAGCACTCGAGGCAGTGGCAGTTTTAAGATTTCAAGAGTTTCTCGGTTGCTGCAAACAGCTAAATGGAGTTGCTGTTTGGGGGAGGTGGCCTTTTCTCATTAAGGCTGGAGATAACAATGCGCTTGTTTGTCCAGAGCTTATTACAGATTCCAGACTCTTCAGCTTTCCCATTCATAAGTATCAGGTCATTGTAAATGGACAATGGCATCTGTTAGTAATAATAATGTTTGCTTATTCAGTTGAGAAAATGTTTCTTTCTTACTTATTCCCAGAGTTGTAACTCTTGGTCTCTTAAATAGCTGTTGTTATACCTCCAATCCATGTGGTTTTAATTGGAATTTTAAACATCATAATACATAAATATTCTCTGATAGGCAGTGCCTGTTAAGTTCAGCTCCCTGTTGGAATTGCCAAGAGAAATACATCAAGATGTTTAATGTGCGGCTAGACTAATGCCTGTTACCTTGTTTAAATGCTCATGTTGCAGGCTGTGTATTCCGATCCATTCAATGCTAGCTTAAGTGCCCTAGTGCAAAAGTGGGCACTGAAGAAACCGCATCTTCAGTATTTGATCTGTGTTTAGAAACTGGGCTCCCATGTTGCTGAAGTCTGGTTTGAACAGGGAACACGTTAGCTGAATACCTTTTGGAAAGGGAACTGAATTTCAGTAGATCCTATGCTTGGAAATTCTCAGTAAAAGCAATAGGATCAGCTGTTTCTCTTCTGTATGGATGGGTTTTGAATCTTAGAAAGCAATAAAAAAAAAAGGATGCGCTAGAGAAAATATTACAACTTTTAATTGCAGAATTAAAGATGTTGGTGAAAGCTTGACACTACCTGCTCCAAGCAGTTGGTGCAAAATGCCTGCACTACAGGAAAGAGGTGTTTTAGCTGTACTAAAACTGTCTGTGGTCTATGGGAATAATTGCATTTTACATTTGCTAAAACTAAGGAAAAGAGGCCACTCGCCTACCTTAGGCCTGCATGGGAGGGTGTGAAGAGAGAACCCTGCAGTCCATGGGGCTGGGGGAGGCACTGCCCGAGGGAGATGCCGCCGCACTCAGGGCTGTTGACCGTCTCGGTGCAGAAGGGCAGAGGCTCATCCTGGGGCTGGCTGGCCTCTAAGGGGTGGCTCAGTCGACACCAAGCAGCGAAGCTCTGACTCCGGGTAGAAAGCGGAGACTGGAAAAGGGAGATAATTTGCTCTTTGCCTAGATAATTACCAGCACAGAAGGAGTAAAACCGAGATGAACAGAGAGGTCTGAGTGTTAAGTGATGTGTTTTCCTTATTCAGCAGTGTTTCCTTCTTTGTACTACCTGCAGCTTTACGAAGCCTTTACCTTTCTAAAAAGTCTTGGGGCTGTTATCCTGGTCCATGCTGAAAATGGAGACTTGATAGCTCAGGTGAGTGAACTGTCATTTTTGCTTCACTTTGTGAGAAGATAGACATGAGAGAAGTAAAACCCTCCAGTCAAGAGTGTGGGTAGGAAAAAAGGAACTACCTGGTAAGTGCCATAATTGGGCCTGATGCCCTACGCACCGCTCGTGTAACCCCTGGGATGCGAGGATGGAGGCCCTTCTGCATGCTTTGGCAGAGCATCTGTGAGGCAGAGCAGCGATCCAGACAGCTCCTTGCCTTGGCAGCAGATGAAGACTGGGTGAGGGGGGCAGAAGGAAGCAAGAAAATCTCTTCTGAATCCGTCAGCGACAAGTGAAGCAGAACAATGTAAAGCCTTGCTCAGACACAAAGTGGAGCTGGGAATCTTTATGCTAATGGCTCTTGCTGCAGCTATCAGCCTAAGCAGCATAGTGAGTTCAGAGTGGGTGGGAAAGCTCTCAGACCTATTTATTTTTGAGAATATTCTTACAAATCTCTGAAGTTTGAGAATAAGAAGCTGCTGTGATCTTCTAAACATTTTAAAAATGTGTGTTAAAGTGTAAGTTATGCTCTTTGAAGATGCCTGTCAGAACCAGGAAACTGTGCTCAAATTCAGTATGTTCCATTAAAATGTCCTGGATCCCCAGTGCACTCTTTGCAGGTCAGGTGCCCTGTGTCGGTACTGTCCTCACACTGGAGTGTGCCGTAGCTCTGATCTGTGCAACAGAGGTATCCCAAGGACAGCAGTCAATAGTAAACCTCCTGCTGGTCTTTCTATAGAGCAGAATGGGCAGCTTTGGGTGGGTAGTCTTATGAGTGTATACATCTGTGGTAGATTAATCTTTTAAGGCTGTTGCAGAGATGTCTCCCTGCTCTGATCCCATGTGTGTGTGTAGAGCCCCTCTGAAGTCCATGAGGCTCTGAGCTGACTGATTTATCTGTTGAGCTCTTTAGCTGCTGGTTTATCCGCTAAGGACTAGGCTGCAGAGCTGACAGAGAAATTACAATAGCTAAAAACAAGTTGTCTTTGAGACCTGGACTAGGGAAGCCACCTTGTCTCATTGTTAAGGGAGAACCTCAACTGAATGTTTGAGTAGTTGGGCATTGTGTAAGGGCTCTTGCCCACATGGGTTTATTTTGTTGTTTTTCCTTCAGTGGGATTCTGTCCTTTATCTGTCTGGTAGGAATTTACCACCTTTGAGAGCCTTCTTTCCCTTTTCCCTTCAAGTTTGGCCAAAATAACCACTGGGCTCAGAAGTTGCTAGTGAGGAGTCAACAGGCACATACACTGCAGTTGTGTCCTTCCCCCACTGAAACCAGGTGAAACCCCTCATTTGGACTCAAGAGGAGAAAAAGTTGATTCCCCATGAAGATTAGCATGATTTGAAACTACTAAAATATATAATTTATATTTTTAATACAATATAAAATATAGAGTGGAACAAAAATTAATAAGAAGAAACACAATAAGACAGTATGACTGTAGGAAATGCAAAATGAAACAAATCAAATGGCACCCATGATGTTTTGATATGTTCCCCATTAAAATCAAGGTGCACTCGTGGAATTGCATTTCTGATAGAAATCTGTTTCAGTTACATTTTTCTTTCATCAGCTTAAATATACAGCCATGGAATATGAACATACAGGACAGAAAAATTATTAGCAAAAGAGGAAGTAGTAAAGAAATGTAAATTATGTTATACATCAACATATTTCTTCACCATTACCATGTGTCATAAAATTTGTTTTTCCTTATGCTTTTATTTAGAAGGATTATTTGGACAGTGAAAAGAAAGCTGCCTGCAGGGAGGTTTTGCAGGACTATCCTGTATGAAAATCCAAATTTGATCTTATCAAACAAATATTTGATCTTATTAGCACTATCAAGTCCTCTTACAGTGGGCAATTTTCCCATATAATCTGATTTTGTGACTTCCTTCAAGATGCAAACGTATCCTTTTCTGTGTTCTGTTCTTCGCCATCTTGCTATTTTTTGTATTATATGGTTGCAACTTTATTTTTTGTTGTATTTTAATTATCTGAAGTCTTTAACTGGCACTGTTCGGCGCTGTGGTATTAATAATTCAGAACAGCTTTTTTTAAGAATACCTATGAAATATTATGATTTTCTAACCAAAATAATCTTAATTGCAGAGTCAGATTAATACATTCCTACTAATGCCTCTTCAGCCTTGATTGATTGCAGCAAAGGGAAAAGTATATATGAATATTAATCTGCTCAGGTTTTGCTGGAGTTTGTTGGTAATGTGTGAGATCCTGGGGGACCTGGGATCAAATATTTATTAGATGACACAGTAAAGTATGTTCAGTAACTTTATCCTGGTCTCTAGGGGACATTTGTCTGTATCACAGAGTCATTACATTTGTTGACCTCAGCTCAGTAAAGACCTGCGAGCAGGGCAGGCCAGGGGCGGAGGTACATCAACAGCTCTGGTCCCACTTCTGCTCTGCTGGCAGACCCAGACCAACCGCAGATCAGAAGTGGTTGACCACCATTTTCTACGAAGAGGGAAATTTATTCCAACACCACTGCTTAACCTTAAATTAAAAGATAGGTGAAGCTTTTTGTCTATTTTTAAAAAGTCATCTCACTGCTGTGAAGTTTTTGGTAGGCACAGATTTTTTCTGACAAACCCCCATTGGTCCTAAGATGGGCTTTTTGGTGTGGACACAGTCCCCTCACAACTGGAGGGCACTGTTTTGCTTTCATGAAAACACAATTTTACTGATTCAATCTGTAGGAAAGAAGTATTACAGAAAACTGGATGCCAAAGGCAAGATTTTATTTGATGAAGTGTCAGCAATGCTGAAAGTTTAATGAAGATAACAGTGCTTCATGGATTGCAGCCAGAGAAGAACTTGTGCGAGTGAAGAAAGACTTGTGGGCTGGAAATATCCATAAGTACTATTTAGTATATTGATTGAAACCTGTTCCCTGGATTGGTGTCTGGAGAGCAGAGGAGATTTCTGATGGTGCAGCCCAATGGCTTGAGGCACAAGTATGCTCTGTCGCACTGGAGCGACAAATCTTCCCCTAAAATCTGTGCTGGCTGCACGGAGCAGATGCTGGGGTGGAATGGGACCCGTTTATAGCCAGTGTTTTCAGTCCTCCTCCCCCAGGAGCGGGCTTATGCAGCTGCATTTACACAGACAAAAAAGGGGCAGTCAGACAAAATGGCTGTTAATGCGCCAGAGGATGCCTGGTGCAAGGGTCTCATCCTGGAGCAGCTGTCAGCATTTATCTTATGTTGCAGGAACAAAAGCGTATCCTGGAGATGGGAATCACCGGACCCGAGGGACATGCCCTGAGCAGGCCTGAGGAGGTAAGAGGCTTCACTCATTTTGTCGTTCATGGAAATATTTTGTCGAGCATGTAGGAGCTTGGCTTCTGTATGTGCAGATGATAGATAGGTGCGTGGGGAAAGGCAATGCTCTGCCTCTCCCATAGCCTCTTCCAGTATTATTCAAAGCCTTAAAAAGTCCAGGTCCCCTTCAGCCTGTTTGTTTGCCTGAAATACCCTTTTACTGCTGCAGCAGGTGCGTTCCCTCGGTCCTTGTACACTCAGGAGTCGCAGCTCCTGCTGCCCCAGGCACGGGTGTGCATGCATTTTTGAGTGTGACCCTTGTGATTTGATTCGTGACAACAAAAAAATGGGCTTATCAGGGTAAAAATCAGCAGTGCAGCTTGTGGGTTAGGCTTTGGAGTAATTGCATTCATTAAAATGCTTTGGCTGAAAACCTCCCATAAGATGCATGTGTATGTACATACCATGCACATGCATACACCCACATATAAATCTACATTTATGCCGGCAGATACATTTGAAGTAGAAATGCAGGCTGTAGAAATGCAAATATGTGAGAATGGAAAGATGCTGCAAGGCAGCTCAGTTTATGCAGCTCTCTTACAATAAAAACCAGGCTCTGGCAAGCATCCTTTCAGGCATCTGGAAAGGGTTTCTTTATGAGAAGGAAAAGGTGGGGACATGTGGATGTCCCTTAATGTACATGTTTCAAACTGTTAATGGGATGATGGGAGGGCGGTAGAGAGAAGTGACTGCTTTCCTTGAAGACTAAAGAGACAAGGCCCTGGGGATCTGAGCCTAAACTTGAAGAGATTGTTGTGGTTTGCAGATCTTTATATAACCTCTCCCCAAGGCAAAAGGAATCAGCTTAATTGGTCACATTCCTCTATTGAACTGTTTATGTACTTTTTCATTTTGCTGTTCAACTTCCACCTAAATTATTCTAAAAGAATGGAGTCGTTTCCTTTTAATGAGAACAAGGGCCTAAGGAAAATCTGCATTTGCAGTTTCCAGAAAGGAATATCGCATCCTTCTGACTGTGCATCTGACCGCCTCAGCCCCAGCGCTGAGGTACAGAGGTCCTGCCTCCTTCCCTGGTCTTCTGCGGGTGCGTTTGGGGCTTCCAGAGCAAATGTTGTGATAAAGGTCTTAAGCAAACCTGAAGTGACAATCTGGTCTAAGAAAATATTTTACAAAACTGTGAAGAATTAAGCCATGTGGTTTTGGAAGACCTAAATTGCTCAAATTTTCTAGCACAACTCTTGGAGAGAAACTTCTGTACCATCGAGTCATTATTTTCAGTCACACTGGAGTTTTAGGTATTAAACTGCCAATACTGTGAGTCCATCTGGGAAGGAGGTATAAAACTGATGAGTGGGGGAAGGAGTCTCCAGACCCCCTGAGAACCACTGCTCCTCTGTCTGAAGACAACTGCTTTGTGTGCCTGCGTCCCAGATGGCTCCCTGGAAGGAGATTGCTTTTACGCTTGCTGACAGAGGGGACTTACTGGGCGATGCTTCAAAGGCTTTTATGGATTATGGGCTAAATTCAGTCCATAGTGCTGAAGTTGCTGTTTGAGAATATTTTACATTCACTGTCATCCTTATGTAAAGATTGCGTAGGGTAAGCTGCCAGGGAGAGCTCGGAGATTGTCTCCGAGCTGGGGAATGTTTCCTTGCTTCGTTCTCCTTCCAGCTGCCGGGTAGAAGTCTGAAGCAGAAAGGTGGGAGGGAGGTAAGGAGGACCCCCATCAGTTGCTTGAACATGACCTTCCCTGGGCTGCAGGGAGCCAGGGAGCTGTATTTGTGCTGGGGCAGCTGTACCCCATTAGCAAGTACAGCCTGGCTGTGGTTACTCCTAACGCAAAGTATCTGAGGTTGGGTTAGCTCCGTTTCCCAGCATTGCGTGTCTCTGTGGAAAAAGCAGAATCAGCCCCTGAAGAGCTGTTGCTAAACAGTGAGAAATATGTCTCAGTCTTCCAGTTCATTTTTTTTCAGTTTGCTTTCGCAGTTAACATTTTCCTCGTTTTCCTCAGCTTGAAGCAGAAGCAGTTTTCCGTGCCATCACCATTGCCAGTCGAATAAACTGCCCAGTGTACATCACCAAAGTGATGAGCAAGAGTGCAGCTGATATCATTGCACTGGCCAGAAAGAAAGGTAAGAGACTTCTTTTTCTCCCCCAACTTGTTTTTTTTTTGTTGAATAGAAGCTCAGTGGAAAAACCTGTACATCTTGAGCCATATATATATATAGATAGGTAGATAGATAGATAGATATAGGGAGAGGTTACCAAAGAATGGTAACACCATCACAGACCCTAAACAATTACGGCTGGGAAAGATGAAGGGAAATCCTTCTGCATTTTTCAGTTGAGAAACTGTCCCCACAAACTTGAAGATTGTGTTGTAACTCTTCTTTATCCTGTCTTCCCTTTTACCTTTCCCTTAGACTGCTGTATCTCTGTTCATGGGAGGGAGATATTGTCTTCCTAACAGGGTCTAGCACATCCTCTGTGCCTTTTGGGGGTATTTCAAGGTACTACCCTCTGAGGGGTGGCTTGGGCAGTGAACCTGCTGTTAGAGATGCCTGGTGCTCACTCCTGGCCTTGCTGCTGGAGGCTGACCCTGTCAGATGTGCGCTGGGGACATCTGCGGGTCGACAGTGCTTGCTGGGGCCGTGGAGGAATCCAGGTTACAAAGCACCCAGAAGGGACTTGTGAGCCTTGGGGGCAGCTGCTTTCAAAGCTGCATCTGCGAGTCAGGAGTCTGCTGGTTGGTGCTACAAAGCGTGTGAGCAATATGGAAAAGCCGAAGAGCAAAATATCATCTTGATATTATTTGTATTCTCGGAGACGTGGAGTATGGTGCTGGGGACCATGTGCTGCTATCTGCTGGTGCTGTGCCCAACCTGGGAGTAGTAAAAAGGCATCTGTCTGCTGGAGCCCATGCTCCACCTAAGTGCACTCTGAAGCGGAGCAACGTAGAGAACATGGCTGTGATTAAAACAGTACAAATTAAAACCAGATATGAACTGTCTCCTGGATTAGAAAGGGAGCTTTGTAAATATGCTGATCAAAAGCATGTGTATCTCAGAGAGCCTCCTGATTAATTTTTTATCATACAGACAAAGCCAGGGCTCCTTTATTTTCTGGGATCTACACTGGCCATGTAGCAATGTGTAAATTATACATGGCTGCATGCAGCAAGCAGTATAATGTGCTGAAGAAAAAAAGTAATCAGTTCCTGTATATCTTTGCTTTCCCCAAGGTCCCCTTGTTTTTGGAGAGCCGATCACTGCCAGCTTGGGGACAGATGGGACGCATTACTGGAGCAAAAACTGGGCCAAGGCTGCAGCTTTTGTGACCTCGCCACCTCTGAGCCCTGATCCTACCACTCCAGATCACTTAAATTCACTCTTAGCATGGTAAGACCTTCATTGTTTTTATAGGCTGATGGTCAGGCAAGTGCAAAAACCACAGGGGATGAAGCATCTAGGGATCAGCTCAGTTTCCTTTAGACCAGTCTCATACACGAAACAGCAGAGAAGGGTCCGCACAAGACCGAGCTGGTTATATCCCTGTGTTCAGGCTGCCAGTCAGATGAGCAGGCATGGACTCTCCAGCTCCTGGTTAGCATGTTCGAGATGTAACTACTGGTTATTCAGGAATTAATTCTTTTTCTTTCTGCTTTTCAAGTGATTCCTAGTTCTATAGATAGGTAGTCTTTAGCCCAGGACTTCAAACTGGTTTTCTCCCTAGTCCTCTGTTTTCTCCAGGCAAAATGTTAATGTGTGACTGGGTGGCATCCTCACCATCCAGCATAAGCAACAGGCTGGTGGATGGACCCCCACCTGTGAGAATAGACTCAGTTTTAAGCCCCTGGTCATATCTGGCAAGCACAGCTCCTGAAATCAGGGTTGTCCCTGAACGCAGAGATACCTGGAACCAAGAAAACTTTGCTGGTGCAATTTTTGCCAAAGCTGGTGCAGGGCTGTAAGCTGTGAGCACTTTTGAGAATTAGGCTGTCCTAAACTAAATTGTAAGGGTTTGTAGCAGAGTTCAGTGGTTTTAACTCCTGTGTATTGCAAACTTCTGACTTGGTAGTTTGCCTTCATCTGGGATGGACCAAACTCATGTAAGTTTACTTGTGTTTAGTTCTTGCAGCCTTGTTTTTACTTTTAGCTTGCCATGTAGCTTTATAGGTTCCAGCGTTCTCAAGCTGGAAGTCAGCAAAGATAAGTGGTACATATAGAGAAGGTATGTCAGGCAGGAGAAAGAGGCCAGAGTGGATTACAAAGGAGACTGTCAGGGACTCAGGTGGAGGCAGTCTGGTGACTGGAGGCCGTCACTTGATAGGATAGGGGTATGAGCAGATGGTCTTCAGGTTGTCAGGGAGAGGGTTCTACTAGAGAGATGAAAGGAATGTGGACAGCAGAGGGAGAAGTGTTGTTCTCATATAGAAAAGAAGACATCAGCAATGCCTTGCCAGCAACCCAGACCGTAAACCCATCCCTGAAAGTACTTCCTGCCTGTAGCCAACTGTGGGTCTTCTTTAGCTTAAGCAAAAGACTATCTACTTTGAAATTATATGGAAATTCACAGCTGAAGTCCCACCAGGACAGATTGCTAGTGCTGGAGCAAAGAACTCAATTTACCATTGAAAACCTTATTTAATGCCGTGTGGTGGCACTCATCTCAACTGCTGCTTACCCTTTCTCGGGTTTCCAATGCTCTACACATAGCAGTAGAATTTGAATCCTAAAAGTGACCCATTGCTATTCAGAAAACATTGCCCCCTGAGGTTAGTTTTCCACATGACCAACTGGCAGGCTGTATGGCAGGCAGTGGCAGTGTGGCTGGTAATGTAAGACCCCTGCATGTGTAATTCATAGAATCATAGAATCGTTTAGGTTGGAAAAGA